GGATTTTGGGTATACACATACACACGCAGGTGCGCATGTGCTCGCTCACTTGTGCACATTCCCAACATGTTTTTTAAGCCACCCAATTTGAACTCAGACCGTACCGTTGGCTATATGGAATTCAGCTTTATGGGGTCCAGCCATCTGAACTGCCATGGCACTGGTGACCTGACTTTTGTCATTTAAAATTTTTTTAAATTATTCATTTAATTTTATTTATTCATCCATTTATTTTAATTTGACTAGAAACACACACACAGAGAGAGAGAGAGAGAGGAAGCAAGCTGTCAGATGCAGGACTTGAACCATGGTCAGCCATGTGGGAGTGTCCAGCGCCCTAACCACCACCACCTGCTGGTCCCCTATCATTTTAAATCTTAAGTTTAAGTCTTTAGATTTAATATTCAAACTGAAATCATTTTATTCCATTAACTCCCAAATGTTTCTATCTGTATTTCTATGCACATGCTTTCTCTGTGGTTAGAATTCCCTTTTCCCTGGGAACTAAAAAATAGCTAAATGGTTATGTCTCTGGACTCCTACATAGTCAACAGCAGTTCAAGTCCCAGACCCAACGACTTCTAACCCATGCTGGGCATGTGTGCATGTGTGACCAAAATCCCGAGAGGAGAATGGAGGAGAAGGGACTGCAGCATGGCCATTCTCTCTGATGGGTTTCTGTCTCTCTGTCTCCAGCGAGCACATGTGCTCTATGGCAAAAATCTCTCAAAAAAAGAAAAGAATTCCCTTTTTCTCATCTTCATGAATTTATACAATAGTATTTCCCTCCTTCAAGATCAATTTTAACTGCTACCTGCTTAATAAAGGGTTTTTTTTTTTTTTTTTTAGGGGGGAAGGTGTATTTGCTATAGGACACATGTGCTAGCTGGAGAGACAGAGACAGAGAGATAGAAAGCGATAAATCACCCCCTTGGGGGATGGCCATACCACAGTCCTTTCTCCTTTATTCTCTCAGGATTTGGGGCATGAACACACATGCACCCTGTGTGAGTTTCAAGCCACCAGGGCTGGGACTCAAACCACTGACAGCCACATGGGAGTCTAGCCACTACACCATCTGCTGGCCCCCTTCATAAAATTTTGTATACCTCATCCACTGAAGAGAGTCTTCTCTGATCTTCCATTAGTGTTTTAGTTTCACTATTTTTTTTCCTTTGCTGTCTTCTGGGAATTTAATGATAGGTAAATTTAATGATAGTTTTTAAAAAATGTTCTCAAAGACTCAGACTGACATTAAAAACAAACAAACAAACAAAACTATGATAGTTTCCCATTCCAGCAGGAGGGCAGGGAAACCTGTTCTAAGCCAGGGACAAACTGCTTCTGCAGTAATTACAAGCCTTGAAAGAAACAGGGCCACAGACTTGACCACTTAGCATGTTTTGCAAAGAGAGGCAAGACTACGCACACAGGGCGTCACCACGAAGTAGGCCAGGACAACATACAGGAGTGTGTCAGGTGATTCTACATGAACAATGGAAGCTACTAATCTCGTGACTTCATGTAGATGCAGAGAGTGGTTCCCAAAGCCTTCTATGCAGCTCTGTGGGTCTCTAGCCCCCTCTTAGCCTACCCAGCCACAGGGCTAACCTGTACCACAGTACTCACTGATTTTATGGCAGTAGACAGAAGGCATGGAAACTTTTCTTACAGAATTTATATAGTTTCTCATAGTTTCTATCTAATCTCCATATAAGATACTTAGATGTATATTTTTCATATTTTTGTATAAAATATTTTGCAAATGATTTTATATGCATATCATCAAATATTGGATGAGTGGATGTTTTAATTTTCCCCTTTTGTCTACTCAGCCCTATGGAAGGCCTCGGAGAAGATGAGGTCAAGAAGGAGGGCATCATACAGTCCTAGCTAGGTAGCAGCTGGGTATGGGCTTAGTTCTACTTAGTTCTACCTCTTTAGGAAATTTTCCCCATAATTTTCCTGACTTGCTTTGACTACATAGTATTGTGATGCTGTTTTGTATTGCATTTAATTTCTACTTCTTGGTTTATTGCTTATAAATCAGAAGATAAGTCTTTTTTTAAGAAAAAGATTTATTTAATTTTATTTATTCACTTATTTTTTAATTTGACCAGAGAGAGACACAGAAAGAAAGAGAGGAAAAGTGAGAAAGCAAGCCACCAGGTCTGGGACTCGAACCATAGTCAGCCATGTGGGGGTGTACAGCGCCTTAACCACCATGCCACCTGCTGATCCCAGAAGATAAGTCTTTTAAAGTGGGCATTTTGGGCCAGCAGGTGGCATGGGGAGGTAAAACCAGCAGGATCCCCCATGGCCAACTTTGCTTACTATTCCACATGGAGGTGCTTTCTCACTTCTTCCCCTCCACTCTCTTTGGCAAGCATATCTGCCCTAGAGCATATTAAAATTAATTAATAATAAAATTATAGAAGTCTTAGGAAAAAATAGAGAAAGGAAGTCTCATGACAAAGATTTGGTAATCATTTCTCAGATATGACATCAAAAGCATTGGCAACAAAAGAAAAAAAGCAGGCAAATTAGACTATATCAAAATTAAAAACCGGGCCTGCAGGTGGCATGGAGGTTAAGGTGGTAGATATCACATGACTGCATGGTTTGAGTCCCTGACCCAGTGGCTTGAAAATCACTCCAGGTGCTTCTACACATATGCTAAAATCTAGAGAGAAGGGATAGCAATTTGATATTCCTACTCTCTCTCCGTCTCTCTGGCAAGTGCATGGACCCTATAACAAAACAAAAAGTGAATGTTTTACCTCTTTAACTAGGTTACATTGGTGATTTCACCAATTTGATTGTATGATAGTTTTAGACAACCAGAACTTATGTTGCTTTTTCTTCCTTTAATTTTAAAATTACTATTTATAATTGATACATAGTAATTGTTCATATTTATGGGTACAGTGTGTTCTGAGCATTTAAAAGTTTTACTGACATACTATACACACACACATATATATATATATATTCATAGAGTACAATTTTTTTTTCAGTACAGTAATCAGTATGTATTAATCAAATCAGGACATTTAGTTTATCCATTATCTCAACTGTTGTTACTTATGTTGGGAACATTCAAAATCCTCGTTTTTAGTTACCATGAGATATACCTTAAACTGTTTTGTTATTACTATATTTACCCTATGTGTGTTATAACACTAGAATTATTCTTTTCTGTCTGTAATTTTGTTTCCACTAATCAACATATGTCTCCTATGGGGTATAATATGTTTTAAACTGATTTAAAATTTTTAAAATTATTATTTATACATTAAATTGCTATACATCATTTAGATTGTGAAGAGACTTTACCCAGCATGATATACACCTCAGTCCAGCCTAGTTGAGTCCACCATACACATCTTCATCAACAGATCATAAATCTTATCTGTGCCCACAAGAGTCTTACTTCTCCATTTCTCTCCCCAAATTCCCTATGCTCTTCCCCTGCCACACTCTATTTCCACTTTGTCTCTAGTGCCCATTACAATTTTTAATACTTTTATGTTCTCCAGTCTTTCAGTCTCTACCAGAGAGTGTGGACAGTTGGCATATGTTAAGTGGAGACACACAGTATCTCTCATAGCCTGACTTGCTTCACTCAGTAACAAATTTTCCGTATTTGTCCACTTTCTAACAAATTCCAGGGCCTCGTTGTTTCTTATGGCTGAATAATATTCCATTTGGTGGGAATGTAAATTGGTCCAGCCACTGTGGAGAATGATATGGAGGTTCCTCAAAGACCTTCAAATAGAACTACTATATGATCTAGCAATTCCACTCCTGGGTATTTACCCAAAGGACAGGAGAGCACTCAGACGGAAAAGCGCTTGTACATCTATATTCATTGCAACCTTGTACACAATTGCTAAGACATGGAACCAACTCAAATGTCCACAGATAGATGAATGGATTAAACTGATTTTTAAAAAGTAATGTGAGGGGCCAGAAGGTGGCATGATAGTTAAGAAGCCAGACTCCCACATGACCAACTGTGGTTTGAGTCCTGGATCTAGTGGCTTGCTTTCTCATTTTCTCTTTCTATCTCTCTCCAGTCAAATAAAAATAATAAAAATAAATATTAAAAAATAACATATGAATATATTCTTCTTATAAAAAAGTCAAACATAGGTCCAGCAGGTGGTGGAGTGGTAGTACACTGGACTCCCTCATGGCCAACTGTGTTCAAGTTCCAGATCTGGTAATTTAAGACTCATATGGCATTTGTGAGTGTACGCACCCAAAATCCAGGAGGAGAATGGAGGAGAAGGGATTGTAGTATGGCCATTACTCCTAGGGGGTGATTTCTCACTTTCCCTCTTACTGTCTCTCTCTGGCAAGCACATATACCCTATGGCAAAAATCTTTATAAAAAAAAAAAAAAAGGTCAAACATTACAGATAAGTCTAAAGCTTCCTTTGATCGGCCCAGTTTCTCTTACTACCTTCTCTTGACTCAGAGTTAATCACTGTTAACTAGTTTTCTATCAGCCCTGCCAATCCTTTTCCTATGCAATTATTTACATATATATTTATACTTTATATAGAACTTCATATGAACACATATATGTATCAGTTATATTCATATATAATTACATCTCTTTTTTTTCACAACTGCTTATATGGTGATCAGTCAGTAAATACTAAATAAATCTTACTAATAACCTAGAGCCGAGAGACTGGAATGAAAAGTGAAGTGTTAAGCATATGAAAACAGCAGATGGTAGGAAGGTTAAGGTGGCTGGATTCCCACAAAGCCAACTTCATGGCTGGAGTCCTGTACCAGGTGTCTTGAAAAACACGCTAGGCATGTGTGTGCGTGTGTGTGCCCAAAAATCCCAAAAGGAGGAGACGGTATTGTGGCATGGCTACCCTTCCTGGGGAGTACTTTTCTCACTTTCCCTCTCTGTCTCTCTGAGCACACACGCTCTGTAGCTAAATAAATAAATAAAATAAAAGGCCAATGGATTTAAAAAGAAAGAAAGAAAACACATTATATGTGTCCAGCTTTCAAAATTACTCATTCCATATCTGTTCTGCATATAGTCCTTAGGTATCACTGGACAGGTCATGGCTCCACGGTCCCAGCGACGAAGGCACAAGAAACCCCCCTCATCGGTGGATTCCATGGCTGTGACCCCACCCACAGTTGTTAACCCTGTGCCTTTGACCCTCTCAAAACCTGGCCCTAGCATTGATGCACTTGGTTTTTTCTCCTTGGAGAAAAATGTTCCTGGTCTATCCCAGCTGATCCTTCAAAAGCTGAACATGAAAAGCTATGAAGAATACAAGTGAGTGACCAGTTGTATGTAAGAGGGATATATTCTTTCTGGTGAACAGAATCTCAGAAGGTAGAAGGAGTATAATTTGGGCAATATGGGGATATTTGCAATGAGTTTTTTTCTGAGTTTTGCCAGTTTTATACTTTGGCAGAAATAGTTTGTTTAACTGAGAAATGATGCAAGTAGGAGATGTAGAATTAGGGGGAAATTTATGGAAGTCAGAGTAGCAGACATGGGAAGTTTTGGATATACTCTTTTTCTCTATTGTCACTACTTCTCCATGCTATCTCTGCAGGTTGGTGGTAGATGGGGGTACCCCTGTATCAGGCTTTGGATTTCGATGTCCTCAAGAAATGTTCCAGAGGCTGGAGGACACATTCCGATTCTGCGCTCACTGCAGAGCACTCCCTGGTGGCCTCTCAGACTCCCAGGTCCTCCGGCACTGCAAGAGGTGACATGTTAGGGACTACTAAGAGAGATGTTCAGAAATGTTCCTGTACTAAGATTTCATTCCAAGAGAAACACCTGGGAATTTCAAAACAACCAAAGACCCATTCTTCGTTTTGTGTGATCTAGGCTACATAGAAAAGAATTGTTGGTCTTGTTTATTTTTGGGATTATCGGAAGTCAGACAAGAGACCATAAAAGAACACTTTCTATCTCCTTCTTCTTAAATTCTCATGGGATAAGTCCACCTGTTCTGGGGAGGTTGGAATCAAGCTTTAACTCTGATGAGAGGGTAGCAGCAAACTCCTATTTTTTGTTCGTTTGTTTCTGAAAGAGATATAAAAAGTGAATTGTTCCAGATAGATGGGCTAGGGTGTCACTTTGAGAGAATAATTATGTTCTCAGTCCCTCCTGCCTCCCCAGCCAAATGTAGTCCTCAAATTTGGCACATAAGCTATCATTCTTCCTCCCATCTTCCTTGCCCATTCACTGATCTTTCTACCTAAGTGCAGAAAAGTCAGTTCCCTACCTAGGTGCAGAAATGTCTTTTTCATTCCCCATATGCTCCCCAGTCATGTTTATGATATGGGAACATCTATTTCTTTGGCTCATTCAGGTGCAGAAATGTTTATTACTGTGGTCCAGAGTGCCAGAAATCAGACTGGCCAGCACACAGGAGGGTCTGTCAAGAGCTTCGTCTTGTGGCTGTGGACCGTCTCATGGAATGGCTTCTGGTCACAGGTGGGGTAGTGGTGTCAGAAATCTTTGCTATAATGGGCATATTTGGTTATATTTGGAGAAAGACATGAAAGTGTGTCATTACAAGCAAAAGATAAGGAAACAGGGTAAGGAATGGGGCACTCCTGGTCATAAGTTGGCAGAGTGAATATGGAAGGGATAGTAATCATTCGTGAGGAGGGAATTTCAAAGGCAGGAAAGCATTAAGTCACTTCTTATTCCTTCTTTCCTGCAGGTGATTTTGCCCTACCCTCAGGACCTTGGCCAGGGCTGGCTGAAGTTGTACAGGACTGGGACACCTGGTTTTCTATGAGGAGTTTACAGCTGGATGCTATACTGGATTCTGTGCTAGGCAGTCCCGCCATGACTACTCTGTGGTCCAGTGTAGGACGACCAAGGCCAGACCCAGGTGTCTTGCAGAGTTCTTTGAAGCGGCTGCTGACAGATGCTCTGTCACGGCCCTTGACACTGGGACTAGGTCTTAGGGCCTTGGGGATAGATGTTGGGAAGACCGGGGGAAGCACAGTGCATGTGGTTGGTGCTTCCCATGTGGAGACATTTCTCACTCGCCCTGGGGACTATGATGAACTTGGCTATATGTTTCCTGGACACGTAGGCATTCGTGTGATTATGGTGGGTGTAGATGTGGCTACTGGCTTTTCACAGAGCACTTCAACTTCACCTCTGGACCCTGGCATAGTTCAGCTTAGTGGCCACAGGGGCCTCTATCATGACTTCTGGGAGGAGCAGGTAGAGACTGGGCAGACACCCCATCCAGATTTGGTGGCAGCATTCCATCCAGGTAAGTCATTGACTCAGGAAAACTCGGGGGCTTCCTCTGAGAATTTTCCATTCTATCTTTGGAACTCCATTCATTTTGTCTCATTAAATGCAATATGATGGGTAAGATGGTGGAGTAGCAACACGAAGCAATTAGTATTGAGTCCCTGGGCCAACTTGGGTTCCGGTCTCTGCAGCAGCAGTGATCGCTAAGCAGAGTACCTGGGGTCATCAGCCAAGATGCTCAATATTAAAATCTTCAGTGGCAGCTCCCATCAGGACTTACCCAGAAAATTGCAGATCGCCTGGGCCTGCAGTGAGGCAAGGTAGTGACTAAGAAATTCAGCAACCAGGAGACCTGAGAGAAATAGAGAAAGAAAGAGATAGCACCCCCAAAAGACTCATGATGCCATGATCCACCCTTGGCCTTCCATGCTGGATCACGGGCAAGTACATTCCTGGTGTACTCAGGAAGGTCTTCAGACTTGAACTGGGAATCTTCCCATGTGGGATTGCCTCACAGAACATCATGTTTTACCACAGTGCCACCATCTATCCCGTGCCCCATCTTACCCCCCTCCCAAGCTTTTTTTTTTTTTTTTAGTACCTTCATATATGTGTGTGTATGTGTTATATACTTCTTCCAAAAGTGCTAAATATATTGTTTATAGCTTTATTTAGCAATATATTTTGAATAGTTTCTCTTTATATTATTTTTTTAATTTAAATAATTTTTAAATGTATCTATTTATCTATTTATTTATTTTAATTTGACTAGAGAGAGAGAGAGCAAGAGAGCCACCAGGTCCAGGACTCGAACCATGGTTGGCCATGGGGAGTCCAGTGTCCTTAACTACCACACTGTTTGCTGGCCCCTAATCTGTATAATTTTAAATAGATATATAGTCTTATCATTATACCATTATTTTATACCAATCCTTATTATTGGATATTTCCAATTTTTTGTATGTATTTGTTTTGTTTCAGTTTCCACACCAAATAAAGGTATGGTCCATGAGGGTAAAAGAAAAAAAAAATGGGGATTTGGCAGGTGGCATGGTGGTTAAGGGCGCTGGACTCAAATATGGCTGACCGTGATTCAAGTCGCAGACATGATGGCTTCCTTTCTCATTTTCTCTCTCTCTCTCTTTAAAATCTTTCCCTCTCTGGTCAAATTAAAATAAATAGATGGATGAATACAGTTAAATAAAATAATTCTTCCAAAAAATGATGATGATGAATATTGGGCATGAGCAAGGTGAAGGGGTGGGGTGGACATGATCAAGGAAGTATCTTGCTCTTTGGGTTTGCTTCAGCCTTTGCCTTTCCTGTGTCCATTTCCACTATTGTTCCATAGGTTTTCATGCCTCCCCAGACTTGCTGGAGGCTTGGCTGCCCACTCTGCTGCTACTCCGTGACTATGAGATACCTACATTGATTACTGTTTACAGGTTTGAACCTTTTCCTATTTGTAAAACTTCCCTGTCTCATTCACACTTCTCCTTATATAGATGAGATCATTATGCTCCTCGTTCATCTGGTGATTATCTTCTTCCTTCTCAAATGTAGCTTTCACATTGCCTTGGAATAAAGTCCTGTACTAGTTACTTAGTGAGACATTTGGGAGGTAGGAGATAGCCCTTGCTTAGTCCAACCTTAGGTAATTTAGGGGATCAATGGGTATAGAAAAGTCAGGCTCTTGAGGAATTTCTCCCCACTCTATCTTTCATAATTGATAGAATAATTTTTTTTATTTCTCTCTTCTGCAGCCATCAGGAGTTGGAAGCCTCCTTGCAGATTCTGGTGGACCTGGATGTACACATCACTACCTATGGGACTAACCCTTTCATGTCCCTCAAACCTGAGCAGGTCTATTCCAACCCCAATAAGAAGCCAGTATACTGCAGTGCCTTCTATATCATGTTTCTTGGAAGCTCCTGCCAGCTGGATAAGAGGCAACTGGAAGAGAATGTGAATGGTAGTGTTTAAATAGCTGAGCTAGATCTTTACTGAATGTCTGAAAAATGGGGAGGTTGCGATAAAACTACCCTGCTGATACCAGGTTGTGGCTAGCTTTGAAACCTACTGTATCCTAAACTTCATTCATAGTCTAGGTAAAAATTCTAAGCTAGGGGAAACAGCAGGTGGCATGGTGATTAAGGCGCCAGACACTCCCACATGGCCACCATGGTTCGAGTCCTATACCTGGCCACTTGCTTTCTCAGTTTCCCTCTCTCTCTGTATTTCTCTCTGGTGAAATTAAAATAAATGAATGAATAAACAAAATTAAATAATTTTTAAAAATTTTAAGCTAAATGAGAGCTCCTGTATTTTGTAGGTCTAAAGTACAGTAGCTTTTGGAGATAGATTTCTAGATTTAGTAGGTGGCAAGAGGCCTTTGGTCTTACCAAATCCTAGTTTCTTCAGGACCTTATTATACCTTATGACTAGAACCACATGGCATGAGGAGAAGAATGAGAACCACCTTATTCCCCTAAAAATTATGTTCTTATCTACCAATTTGGGTTACAAAACGGAAAGATATTAATGACTTGAAATGTTGCAAGAATAGACAAGTTAGAAGTTAGAAAAGTTACCGAGAACATGGGGAAAGTTGTAAGGATTGGCATACTGTTCTACTTCGTATTTTGAGAGAAATGTCTCATTTTTCTGTTTTCTTTTTTAAAAAACAATTATTTATTTAATTTTATTCATTCATTCATTTTAATTTGACCAGAGAGAGACAGAGAGAGAGAAAGTGAGAGTGAGAAAGGAAGCCACCAGGTCCAGGACTCAAACCATGGTTGGCCATGTGGGAGTGTCCAGCGCCTTATCCATTATATCATCTGCTGGTCCCATCATTTTTCTGTTTTCTCTTGGGAACTTCTGACCCTAGAGTAGCCTTGGTATTATATTTTAAATATCCCAGGGTATATCAGACTTTACCTGAATTTACTGGAGTTATTATCTCATATTGCATGCTACAATAAACTCAGTTTGGGGCTTCTAAAGTCATTCGTTCTATCTCATTTCCATTCCACTGGCAAGTATTACTCCTCTGAACACAAGACCTTGAGACTGGAAGTTTCTCTCTTGTTAAAAGAATGATTGGCATCAGCTTTGTTTGGACCTCTCACTTTACTAGACACTTGTCTCATGTCATTTTTGTCTTATCACACTGTCAGAATAAGGACATTCCTGCAGTATTCCTTCCTGCTCCCTTGCCGAGACCTTACCATATATTCATACAATGCATCACTCCAGCACATACATATCTACTCTTTTTGCCTAATTGGAAAAGGAGTAATTTTAGAAGTCATTTATTCATTCAAAACATTTAGGGGCCAGCAGGTGGCGTGGTGGTTAAGGGTGTTGGACTCCCACATGGCCAACCATGGTTTGAGTCTCAGGCCTGGTGGCTTGCTTTCTTTCTCTCTCTGTTTCTCTCATAAAAATTGAAATAAATAAAGTTAAATAAAATAATTCTTAAAAAAAATTTAGGTAGTATTTGTCACATGAAAGGCACTGTGTTAGTTCTTTGGGGCAATGGACAGGTGAATGGTACATGATTTTTATTGTTTTAAAAGAATTATTTAATTTTATTTATTTATTCATTCATTCCTTTTTTTTTTTTTTTGGAGAGGTTTTTTGCTATAGGGCACGTGCGCTCGCCAGACAGACAGAGAGAGACATAGAGACAGAAAGCGAGAAATCATCCCCCAGGGGGGATGGTCATGCCACAATCCCTTCTCCTCCATTCTCTTCTCGGGATCTTGGGTACGCATGCACATGCGCCTGGCGTGAGATTTAAGCCACCGGGTCCGGGACACGAACCATAGTCGACTACGTGGGAATCCAGCGACATAGCCATTATGCTAACTGCTGGTTCCCTCATTCATTCATTTTAATTTGATCAGAGAGAGAATGAGAAAGCAAGACACCAGGTCTGGGACTTTAACCATAGTCAGCCATGTGGGAGTGTCTAGCACCTTAACCACCACAACACCCTCTGGTCTCCATGGTTTTTTGGGATTTTTGTGTGTGTGTGTGTTTGTATGTATGTATGTATTTAATTTATTGGAGAGGTTTTTTTGCTATAGGGCGCATGGGCTCACCAGAAAGACAGAGACAGAGAGACAGAGAGAAATCACCCCCTAGGGGGGATGACCACACCACAATCCCTTCTCCTCCATTCTCCTCTCGGAATCTTGGGTATGCACACACACACGCCCGACGTGAGTTTAAGCCACTGTGTATGGGACTCAAACCATGGTCCACTGCATGGGAGTCCAGCGACAGCCATTACGCCAACTACTGGCCCTGGTTTTTATTTTTAACCTAGGAAAAAAAATAATATCTATACAGAGATACTTTATTGCAATGCATAATATGGAATAAGAAACATGAGAGGTACTTGTAGTGCTAAGGACATAGAGTGAAAAGAGAGGTATTATGAATTATAATGTTATGAAACAGAGGGCAGGGCATTCCAGGTGGATGGAAGAACATGAGCAGAAGTTTGGAGACAGAAAAACATAGGGTAGTTTAGAGTACATGGGAGGATTACTATAAATTAAATCTGGACAGTTGTTTGAGACCAAATTATAGGAGCATGGCTTACTGGTCAGCTTTGGATTTATGTAGATTTGAGTATCAATTTTGGAACTACCATCAGATATTTTTGTGTCCTTGGGAATGCTAAACTTCTCTAAGCCTTAACTTCCTCATCTGTAAAATATTTAGTATCCAAAGTTACTTTAAGAGTTAAATAAGGGCTGCTCCTGTGTCACAGTGGTTAAGCACTACATGGAGAGAGCCAGATCCCACATGGCCTATAGCATTTTTGAATTGAAGCCTGGCAGCTTGAAAAACACTCCAGGTGCATGTGCACACATGCCCAAGCTCCTGATAAGATGAAGGAATGGAGGAAAAGGGATTGCAGTACATCCAGGCATTATTGGGGAGTGCTTTCCTCTCCCCTTTTTCTGTGCTAAGCATATACACCCTCTGGTGTTGAAAAGGGGGAGGAGGTGGCCTTGTGATTAAAGTAGTCAGATCCCACGTGACCAGTAAGTAGTGCAGTGTGAATTCAGGACCTGGAGGCCTGAGAAACACACAAGGCATGTGTGCTTGCATACCCCAAAATCCCAAAGGGTGGTAGAGGTGGAGGAGAAGGGAATACGGGGTGACCATCCCCTTGGGGAATGCTTTCTCCTCTCCTCTCTCTCTGTAGTAAGCACATGTGTTCTTGGCAGAAAAAAAAAAATTGAAAATGCTTTGCAGAGTTGGAGGATTTACACATCCCAAAAGTGTGTATTATGAATAAACTCTGCATGGCTGTCAAAATATTTTGTGCCAAAATAAACTTGTACAATTCCATTTTCCACAAACTTTTTGAAGTCCCCTTGTACAATAAACTGGATGGCTTATCAACAAGAAATTTATTTCTCACAATTCTGGAAGCTGGTAAGTCTCTGATCAGGGCAGTAGCAGATTTGTTGTCTGTTTCCTGGTTTTTAGGAGGTAGCTTCTTTTTTGGAGAGATTTTTGCTATAGGGTGCCTGCACCTGCTGGAGATAGAGACAGAAAGCAAGAAGTCACTCCCTAGGGGGGTTGGCCACAATGCAATCCCTTTTCCTCCATTCTTCTCTCAGGATTTTGGGCACGCATGCACACGTGTCCGTTGTGACACCTGTTTGGGGGCCATATATACGTTGTTCTTTTTTTTGGAGAGGTTTTTTCCTATAGGGCGCGTGCACTCGCCAGACAGAGACAGACATAGAGACAGAAAGAGAGAAATCACCCCCCAGGGGGGATGGCCACGCCGCAGTCCCTTCTCCTCCATTCTCCTCTCGGGATCTTGGGCACGCACACACACGTGCCCGGCATGAGTTTTAAGCCACCGGGTCCAGGACTCGAGCCATGGTCGACCCTCGTGGGAGTCCAGCGACATAGCCATTACGCTAACTGTTGGTACCCATACGTTGTTCTTAAAATCTTAACCTACCTCATCCCACCCCCTCAGTAAGTTTTTGGATAGAGTAATAATAGGTTAATGGCTCTCACATTTTAGTGTGCATCAGAACCACTTGGAGGGCTTGTTAAAGCAGATTGCTGGGTACCACCACCCAGGCATTTGATTCGGTGGGTCTATGGTGGAGTCCAAGAATTTGCATTTCTAAGTTCCCAGGTGATGCTGATCTGGGGCCACACGCTGAGAACTACTATAAAAGTTAGCTGGCTGATTTTGCTCTTGAATAGGAAGTCCTTACAGCGCTTAAGTCCTTTTCATAACTCAGATGTTTAGTGTCAGGGTGTGTTTAATGCTATAGTGTGTGTATGTGTGTTGAGAGGGAGAGCTAGAACCACCCAACAACTCATTTCTGGATTGATTTTGATAAGTACATCTCCACTTCGATTCTCTAGAATTCCCAGTGTTAATTGATTACACAGGAGGCCAATAAAAACACCTGTAGGAAGGTATTTCGGAGCCAGAGAGACTACACCGGCCTCCTCGCCTCAGCCCCTTCCTTTGGCCCACCCCCAACCGCTGGGATGCCCCTCCCCCCAACCGCTGCAACTTCCCACGAGATTTGAGAGCGCCAAAAGAGGGTGAAGCAGGGTCCTTGGGCCCAAAAATGTGATATAACCGGCTGGGCTACCGGGAGGGAGCGTCTATTCCCGCAAGCAGCATCGCGAGGCGGGGCTGGACGAGGTACAGCCCGGCCTGGCGCCGCCCTCTCGGGCCCGGGGGCGTTCCCGGCTGCGGCTGCGGTTCTAACGGGCTCGCGCGGCCGCCCCGGCGCCCCGCCTTCCCTGGCCCGCCCCCGGCTCCATCTTGCTGGCGACCCTGTTGGGCTGTGACGCTGCTCCCGGGGTCAGGTGAGGAACGGCGTCCCCTCCTTTTCCCGTCCCCTCGTCTGCTTCGGTCTCCTTGCCCCCGGCGTTCTGCGACCCGCGGTCCCGGAGGCGCTGGCGCCCTGCGTGCGCCCTGCGTGTGCCCGGCGGCAGGGCGCGGCGGAGGGGCCGTGTGGCCTCCGGGGGCGCCGACTCTGCTGCAGGCCGGGGGGAAAAAAAAGGGAGGGATGGTAAGGCCGCCGGGAAGACGAGGCAGTCGTGTTCTCTGTCCTCTGTGTCTCTCGGCGGTACGGAGACCGAGGGTGCAGTGACGTCCCACTCTTGGGCAGGTGGGCCCCAGGTAGAGGGAGGCTGAGGTGGTCCTGCGGGAAACACCTCGAGGGAGACCGAGTAGGGACACCGGAGAGGAGCTCAGTGAGCTAAGGCAGGCTGTTTACTAGACTTTCCCGTGACACAGCACATTTTGGGGAAACTTGGGCAATTTATACTGCGCTTAGTGAACTCCGGGACAGAATGCGCAAGCCTGAGAGCGTACACCAATTCAGGTTTACAATTCTTGGAAACCATTCTAGGAAATAGCATTCCAGATTTGATTTCTGATCCCTAACCAACCGTGAGCTAACCTTCCATCCTGTGCACACTCCTCCAAGGGAAACCGAGGTACCGGGGGGAGATATCCAATGTCCGTCGTAAAGTGACTGAGAAGACGCTTTCTCTTCCGACTGCTTTTGAACGCCCTAATTTCTCTTGCTGATAGGGAGCTAATCTGATGGAGTAATTTGACCTAATTAGATATCTCTCTGGCAAGGAAGGAGTTTCAAATTCTGTCGTATTAATAAATAGGTACTTGGAAGAGATCATTTTGACCACTGCAAACGTAGGCTGCCTTTCAGACCTCACAGGTGGGTGGTTGCCTGCCTGCCCATGCAGAGCTAGCCATGCCTCCACGTTCTTTATCCAGATCACTGACCGATTTAAATGCCCTTCAGATGGCCGGCTTGGGGAAATTGTATCTATTCTTGCCCATCTTCACTCACCCTTCCTGTTCTGTAGTTTTTCTTCACCCACCTTCCCTAAATTGGCAACAGCTGCCTCTTGTGTTCCTGGGCTTCTGGCCATCTATGAGACATCATAGTGAGACCCACCCCTTTTACTAGCTGACTCACTGGGTGGAGATGGTTTGAGAACTGAGAATGAATTTCTAGTCTTTCAAAGTGTTTGCTGACAGGGAATGTTGAAAAGTTCTGGTTCACCAGTATAGTCTTGGTCACTTGACCAAAGTTGAATAATTTGTGGAGTCACTGTGGGGTTTGTTTAGCTTTTTACAAAAGGTCTTTAAATCTACCTTTTAAATAAGTAATACATGGCACAATTCTGAAAGGGCAAAAGTACATTAAGAAGTCTATTCCTTGTTACACCTCAGCTGCCCACCTAGGAGAGAATCCCTGTTTTCTACTTCCTTGAGTATCCTTTCAGGGATATGCCACAGGTATACAAGTAAGTGTATTTTTTTTTTTTAACATAAGATTGCAAACTACCTATGCAGTGTTTCACCTTGCTTTTCATTCGATATATGTTGGAGATGGCTTCATATGAGTTAAAAATAAAAACTTTTTTAAAGGAGAGAGATGGAGAGAGAGGTGGATAGGTGTTTTCACAGGCTCTTGCCCTAGCCTCCCAGTTAGCTGGGATCACAGACATTCACCATTGTGCCTGGCATACCCAGGTGGGTCCCTGGGTTGAAGCCTGCCTTCTGGCTCCAGCCTCTTGCAGTGGTACCTTATTATTGACTTGTGTCCTTACAGCTGGGCCTGCCTTATTTTTAATATTGCATAACCCTTCATTGTATGACTACCGATCATCTATTTCACCTGTCCCTTATTGTGACCAGATTGTTTTTAACCTTTTCCTGTTACCTATACATAATTTTTCACTTGTGCAAGTTTTTATATAAGTTATATTACTAAAGATAGAATTCTATTCTAGTTCTCTTTATATAATTACATTCTTCAAAATACACTGATACTCACTTTCTTAAAATTGCTTACATTTTTCTTATGCAGGTAGTCTTTGCTTTATTTTTTTGTTTTGAAAATCCTGATATCATTCTTTCAGGCCCTTAAGGATAAGAATTAATAAAGTAGTAAAAAAAAAAATATAGCAATAGGATTGTCATGGAAGTTTCTTCAGACTTCAAATTGCTTATATACTCTTCGGAGCTGTAAGTATTTGTTGCCTTTAAAGTTATTAATTTGCCTCATAAATTATTATTTTATTTTTGGAGAGGTTTTTTGCTATAGGGCACGTGCGCTCGCCAGACAGAGAGACAGAAAGTGAGAAATCACCCCCCAAGGCGGATGGCCACGCCGCAGTCCCTCCTCCTCCATTCTCCTCTCGGGATCTTGGGCACACATGCATACGCGCCTGGCGTGAGTTTAAGCCACCTGTTTCAGGACTCAAATGGCGGTCGGCCACATGGGAGTCCAGCAACATAGCCATTACACAAACTGCTGGTCCCTTGCCTCATAAATTATTTCTAGACTTTTTTCCTCTTTATCTTTGGTTCATCTGCCTGTTTTAGATGTTGTCATCCCTCCTGTAACTCTTAGACCAACCAGACTTAGAAGGCAGCAAAGTTCCAGCCCAGCCTTGGAATTGCAAATGATGCTTTAAGAACTGACTAGATCAGTCATCTTTTCTTTCTTACTGACTTATCATTTTAATTCAGTATATGCCCATTCATTCTCAATTTATCAAGATTTTTTTTTTTTTTTTTGGAGAGCTTTTTGCTATAGGGCACATGTGCTCGCCAGAGACAGAGACAGACAGACAGAAAGCGAGAAATCACCCCCCAAGGGGGATGGCCACGTTGTAATCCCTTCTCCTCCCGGGATCTTGGGCATGCACGCACATGCGCCTGGCGTGAGTTTTAAGCCACCGGGTCCGGGATGCGAACCGCCGTCGACTACATGGGAGTCCAGCGACATAGCCATTATGCTAACTGCTGGTCCCAAGATTTTTTTTTTTTAAGAGTTTTGCTAGGACCAGCACTTGGTGTAATGGCTGTGTGTTGCTGGACTCCCATGTAGTCGACTGTGGTTCGAATCCCAGACCCAGTGGCTTAAACTCACACCGGATGCATGTTGGGCGTGCTCAAGATCCCGGGAAGAGATTAGAAAAAGGATTGTGGTGTGGCTGCCCCCCAGCGGGTGATTTCTCGCTTTCTGGCGAGCACATGCGCCCTATAGCTAAAACCTCTCCAAAAAAAAAAAAAAAAGATTCTCACTATTGGGTACATGCACCTGCCAGAGAGACAGAGAAACAAAATGAGAAATCACCCCCTGGGGAGATGGCCATGCAACAATCCCTTCTACTCCATTTGCTTGTCGGGGTCTTGGGCATGCACACCACCTGTCATGAATTTTAAGCTAACAGGTCTAGGACTCAAACTGTGGTCGACTAGGTAGGAGTCCAGCAACATAACCATTATACCATCTGCTGGTCCCAGTTTATCAAGTTTTTAGCTTCCGTTTTTTGTTTATGTTCAAGGAAACAGTATGGTAACTTAAATTTATTACTTTATTTTCCTATACTATGTACTCAGGGGTTGGATACTTCCCCCCAATCTTTCTATCTGTACCTACATACCGGCCGTATCTTGTATACATGTGTAATGGTCAAATCAGGACAGTATGGCTGGCCCCATAGCCTAGAGATTAAAGGAGCCTGATCCCACATAACTGACCATGGTTCTCTGGCAGCTTGAAAAAACACTTGGCATATGTACATAAGTGTCCAAATCATGACAAGATAGAGTAGTGAAGGAGAGAGGATTGTGGCATGACTATGCCGCATTGGGGAGCTACTTTCTTTCTCCCTTTCCCTCCCCTCTGGCAAGTACACATGCCTTCTTGCAAATTAAAAATAACTTCTTTACATCTCTAGATTTGCATTTTTAATTGGAAATGAGCTTTTGAAGAAAATGACATTCGTTTGGATGCAGACTGCAGCTTCTAAAAGTTATTTCTGCTGTTAGGTTTGCTCTTTACAATACTGTCAGCTCTTGATCACCATATATTATCACATAATAGATAATCAACAAATTAATGTCCCTTGAATTCCAGACTGATTACACTCTACCACCCCGCTTATTTTCTTTTGCCATCAATTGGAGAAAGCACACTAATTTTGAAATTAGTCCAAGTCTAATAAAATTAGAAAGGAAAAAAAAATTTTTTTTAATAGAGGTTTTTGTTTTTTAATAGAGGTTTTTAATAGAGTCTTAGAGTACTTGTGTTCCCTGGGGAGAAAAAGGCAGAGACAGTGAGAGGGAATATGAAAAATCACCTCCTAGTGGGGATGGCCATGTCATAATCCCTTCTCCATCTCCCGGATCTTGGGGGCGCGCGCGTGCACACACACACACACACACACACTGGTGTGAGTTTTAAGCCACTGGGTCTGGGACTTGAACCATGTTTGGTCATATTTGAGTCCAACAATGAAACCGATAGCCATATGCTCACCCAGAGGAGGTAAATCGAAGTGTATTGTAATAAATTTTTAAAAACTAAATTTCAAAGGAAATTAAAAAAAAAATGCTTGCGGGGCCTGCTGGTGGTGTGGTGGTGAAGGTGCCGGACTTCCACATGGCTGACTACAATTTGAATCTTGAACCTGGCAGTTTGAAACTCATTCCGATGTGTGTGCTTCCCCAAAATCCTGAGAGGAGAATGGAGGAGAAGGGATTGCAACGTGACCATCTCCACCGGGGGTGATTTCTCCTTTTCCTCTCTGTGTCTTGCTACAGCAAGTGCAAGTACACTATGGCAAAAAATCTAAAACAAAGCAAAACGAAACAAACCTTTCACTTTCTATTGTCGTTTTCTATGTTTATAGCAGTTAACATCCATTGAGGACTGGGGCTGGCAGGTGGCATGGCGGTTAAGGGCACCGGACTTCCACATGGCCCACCATGATTCGAGTCTGGACCTGGCAGCTTACTTTCTCACTTTCCCTCCCTC